TCAATTGAATTAATTAATTTTTTCCCCTTTTTAATAAAAATGTTGACACACAATCAATGTAATCATTCACTCTGTTAACTCTCTCATACTTCATTTACCCTTTTAAGCATGTGACGAATTGGACGAAAGTAATAAATTCCTGTGTGATGACAATTCGTGCATTTCGAAAGCATTCAAATGTGATGGTGAGGTGAATTGTCCGAGTGGTGAAGATGAAAATCCACAAGAATGTGGTAAGTGATTTCATTTCAAGATTTTTTCCATTTACAAGTCACATTATAAAAAAACGATGCAAAAAATTCCTGGAAATTTTTTTCCGAACAAATTTTTTTTTATTCCGTTTAGTTCAGCAAAGCAAGTAGAATGCACAATACAATCGATCGATTTCAGCATTTTGCACAACGAGCATTTAGCAACGAATCTATGCATTTTGGTTGCATGTATATGCTCTTTTATCGACCTATTTTTTTTTTCAAATTTGTTATTCATTAAAAGTAGCTATTTTTAGCACCATTTGTTCAATTACCAACAAAAACAAAACACCATCACAAGAAAACGGCAGACAGTATTACATGTGTAGATTTGTGCGTAAATGTTTTAATCAATGTATATATTGGTGGTGGTAGACAGACAATTACTATTTTTCTCGGTGGTTAATTATTGAAACGCGTCTATTGTGTGTAGAGTAGTTGTCTTTTTCTAGATTTTTGTATAGATCTTCGGTCGTACTATGGTTTGTGTCATAGTTATTCTATGGTGTTGGTCATAGTTATTCTATGGTGTAGGTCATAGTGTACGACATTTGTAGTTAATATTTTGTTGACAGGATTATTCTTGGTGAATGGTGCAATTTAACGCTCAATTCAAATCTATGCAAACATCATTTGAGAAAACTATCTTAAGCACATCGCAACATCATCTTGAAGTTCTAATCAAAATCTCTCTGTTTCATACGTTCAATCATCTATTTCATCTGATTGAATGAATACTGCATTTGCATCTGCATTACTGCGAACGAAATAGAATGCAACGAGAATGAGTTTACATGTGACGATGGTTCATGCATTGACAAAGAAAGTTTGTGCAATGGAATAAGAGACTGTGCGGATGATGAGGATGAGGATCCAGTCAATTGTCCATCCGAACCATATTTGTCCACAACAACTGAAGAATCCATTGAAGAGCCTGAATATACTACGCCAATACCGACCACGGAATATCCCGATATAACAACTGAAGATTGTAAGTTGTTCATTTCCTGCGCTAAATCAAAACACATCGGTCAGCATGAAGCTTCGTCAACTCTGGGATAATTCAAAACACAGTTTGTCTTTGCCCACTCCCCCCCTGTTTTTATTTTGTTTTTGCATTTGTTTTGGTTTTTTTTTAAACTCGATATCCTATCATTTATTCACAGCATATGGCTATTTCTCACCCATCCATTGTCTCATGCATTCTGGAATGCTTAATCGATAAAAACCTGGCTTTCGTTGAACTGGCTCCATTGTTTCTGTATTTGCATTTCAATTTTCTCACATTTCGATCGATTTCACCGGTCAAAATGCTGTGATTTTGATTCATGGAATATATGGCTTTTGCTTGGAATATATAACATACTTGTTGTGTGGTTAGCGTGTGTTCGATCTCATTTTGAATTGCTTTGTGAGTTTTTGGTATTTATGGGAAATGGTTTTGATATTTTATCATTGAACTTGATATATATATTTCACTTTGTTTGCCTGTTTTCAATTCACATCTAACAATATTGCTTGTTCAATTAAAATGAATAATAAATATAATATTCAATGTGGATAGGTAGGTTTTCATATATGACACCATGCAATCATCATTTCAAGACATTGTTTTAAGTCGACAAAGGAAAACATAAAATTGATTGCCCTAGACGGGCTCTTAATATATTCTGTCTATGGCTGAAATCTAATTGTCATCCGACTTTGTCCTGCGCTTTGACTATTTTCATATATTTTGTCTTTGCTAAGCGACGGTCTCTCGACAGGCTTTGCAGCCACTCTAATTGAATTACATTGGTCGAACGTGTTAGTTAAATTATTTTAAACCGAAAAAAGAGGATAAAAAACTAACGAAATAATTTCATTGATACAGTCGATTCGACAGTCAACTGTTTTTGAACAGAAAAAAAATTATGAAAGTCATGTTTTATGGAACTCATGTTCCATCATTGGTTTCGAACTATTTTTGTTGCTCCATCATATTAGCCCACGGAATGCTTCGATTTCACTTTGATATTCTATTTTTTCAGGAAATCTATTTCGATGCGAAAACAACGTATCGATTCCAATTGAAAAGAAATGTGATGGCATTTATCATTGTCGCTTTACAAAACCGTTTAACCCATCCGATCTTAGCGATGAGAAAAATTGCCGTAAGTTTCAATGATTGTTTCGTACAAACTCTCAAACGATTTATCGACGATATTTTAAAAATCGACGCGTTTTGTTTTTCACCTTGGATCACTTTGGGAAATATGCGAAATTGATTGAAACATGAAGTCAATTTATTTTCACGTTTCAATATGACAATTGGTTGAATACCAACTCAATCGTTGAATACAAAGAAGATAATTTGTAATTATAACCAAATTTAAGTTTAAAAAAAATGAGTCGATTTGAGCAAGGATTTCCTTCGGCACTCGCATCCGCTGTCACCGGATGTGATATGCTGCATAACATATGCATTTAAAGACGTGATAAATTGGTGTAAAACACAAAGTTTTGGTAGAAAATTTTACAATTGATATACTTGTTTGTCCTTTTCTTACATTTTGGAGAATCAGAAGAAATTCTCTGAAATTTTTGAACATTTATTGGGATTTTTTTTACGTTAAAATCAATTATGAGCTATTCAAAATAGAAATAAAACACTCTTCTGATGTGTTACAGTCCAAATCAAATAACGTTGTGTTTGTATCCAATTCAATTCAATTTCTCGACTCAAGGAGCCAATCTGTCCCGGCACGGTCACGATAAAAATCGTACAAAATTTACGTTTAGTCTCACAGGCTATTCGTACGGTGAATTTCAGAATTTCGTACGAATAGATATAGAGACCAAACGTACGGATCGTACGAATAATTTTTCTCCGTATGTATAGACATGGAGACTAAATGTCTATTCATACGAAATTCTTAAATCCATCCGTATAAACGAAAAAAATGATTCTGTTTCGAAAAATGGCAGCAATAAACAGAAAAACAACAACAACAAACCAATTTGATTACTCATTTTTGGTGAATTGTGTTTGGGCT